AACCCCAAAACCCCAAAACCCCATGATTCTAAAATACAATTTTGATCATGATACTTTCAAATATATTATTATTATTAAAGTAAAATGATTGTGAATCACAAAACTATTTAAAATCTGATACATTTGAATGTGGATCAGTAGAGTACCTTGATCTATTTTGAGAGATGCATTCCTTAAGCTATTTAAGATCCTGAACAAGCACTAAATAAGTCTTATCTCTGTCTTGTTCAATCTAATTCTAACTAATGTGGAGCAGGAGGTGTTTACAGCAGTTAGCACATATTCAATGAGATATTAGTGATATCTCTTAATGACAAAGGAAAAGATTAAAACATACCTAAAGAAAAGAAAAAAGGGAAAACTTTCTTTTAGCAACTAATAGAGAGGGTGTCGCTTATTGATCTTACATCTATTTCAATTCTTGATCGAAGCAGAATAGAGTTTCTTAGAATGAGGTAGAAGAGTGTCTATATTATAAATGGACAAAGTGGAGGCTAAATTTCATAATAAGACGCCTTAAAGACTTTCTCATGGATTGTTAGAAGGTTATATCAGATACAAAACTAAAGAAATCTTAAGATATTTGACTAAAACGGTGATGAAATCAGTGATTATTTAGAAGAAGAAGCTAAAAGATAGGATTGGGAGTAAATTAAGTCAGACTATTTATCTTTGCAAGCTTAGGATGGAGAAGAAATACAAGATTTTGAGAAAAATGTAAGATCAAAATTGATTTGTTGATTAAGTATATAGTTTAGGAGCACAATTGCTAGATTTGACACTTGTGTAGGAGGAAGATTGAGAAAAGATACTATAAAAGTTAACAGGGACTAGTTAAATAAGATTCTTGGACAAAATTCATAAATTCAGAGTATAATTCAGCAATATGTTAATACTCATAGATTATGAGGAATCATTCTAGCAATTTTAGTAGTCAGTTAATAAGGAACTTAAATATAGCAGGCATGGTCTTATTGATGTATATAATATCTTTTAAAAATAATAGGCTTTGGACGAGATTTAGCAGCAGAAAGGTGATCTTTAGGTTCTGGAAAGAGTGTTTAGTTAATTATCAATTTTTCAAAACAAAACAAGTAATCATCTTTTTCGTAATTATTGATTTAACAGAATAACAAAAATCTAAGGTCTTAAATCTTAGAACATAAATCGATGAAATTGAATCCCAAAACTCACGAGTTGTTTAAGAGGAGCAAAATTATAAAAAACTTTATGCTGAACTAAAGTAGCTTACAAACTACATCAAAATTGATAACAGCCAATAAAGCTTTTTGTTGAAGGGTGCAGACTTTAATGATGATAGCTAAATCTAGTAAATAGTCCAAATTTTGGATAACCTTAAGCTCTCACTTCAGGATAAAAGCATTACAGATATCTAGTATACCTAAGATATGAATGCTTCTTTACTTAAACTTAAATAAAAAGTTATAATCAGATTTACTGAAGCCATTTCCAAAAGACTAAAGAAAATGGAATAAGATAAGATTTCATAGTTTGGTTTGATAAGTAAAGATTTTGTAAATTATTTGGGTAAAAGAGAACCTATATTAGCTAAATTAGCTGAAATTAGTATTTGTTAAACATAAAAAGGTGTCTATCATGAAATTAATGGTCTACTTAACAGATTTTACAGAGTTATAAGCGAAGAATTTTCCTAATTCATGTAAAATAAAAAATTTTAAGAGCTCAAAGATACGCTTAAACAAGACATAGTTGGAACATATAAATTAGATTTGCCTTCTAAATAACCGAAATCATTATAAAATTTTCTATGTGCTCTTACTAAAGATTAACTCAAAAAATCTGAAAGTAGTACTCTTGATGTAGATGTAGGTAAATTCTGCATTGAATTACTCTAATCAATTCAATTCTTTGAATCAGTATTTTTCAACTTTTTCGAATGTGGTGAAATGTAATTATTGAAAGATGGAGATAAATCTTTTAACTAATTCATTGAGATTTGCCTTTAAGATTTGTATGACTAATAATAGCAAATGATCGGTGAATTAATGAAGATTAATCCATTTACCTTATATACCATTGCATCATTAGCTTAAATTATTTGTGAAAGCATGCAGAAGAAAAAAGTCAAAAGATAATTGACAAAGTATATATTAAAGAATAAGACCCTAGATTTCAAGTCAATTAAAAATTTATTTTTCTAGGAGATTTATTAAAAGCTATCAGAGAGTGCCTTACAAGCATTTCAAGATTATATTGTAAGATAAAATAAATTAAATTCTATTAGGAAGTTGAATTGAAAAATCTAGAAGGACTAATTATAAACACCTGATATTGCGGTGTGCTCGAGCCAGTAAGAAAACTAATGTTGGCTGCAGAATACTGTTGCAATCTTACGAGTAGACTTCAAAACAAGAGGATTGGCAATAAACTGATAAATCAGATCTTGATTAAGTAATGTTATGATTGGCTTTTAAATGTATCAAATGTTAAGCCAAAGTATACTGACATAGTGATAATTGAAAATATTAATTTCATCCATTAAACAATAAATACTCTTCAAAAACAAAATGAGAAAACAGATTTCTTTGAGTCAGCTCTGGCTAATATGAAGAAAAATTATGAAGATCACTTAGATAGTTATTTACAGAACAATATCTTTTATATTATTCCAACAATAAAAGACTTGAAATCTGCAAAAGAGCACAACTCAATATTTTAAAAGGCTTTTGGAAATAAAAATTTAGGATTTCATTTCGAAAAGATGGTAAAAAGAGTTCATAAGCACTTTAAATAGGACACTAATACTATGTAATTCGTTATTAAAAGACTTCAAATGTATTTGTAAAGAATAATTGAAAAGGGGATTAAGGATTACAAAATAACCTCTGTAAGTCTTGATATTTATGAAAACTTTATGAATGAGGAGGGTTTAAAGATTATTAAAAAATACTCAGGAAAAGCATGATTAATTTTTTATTCACATAATTGTTTTCCAAATATTTGGTTAATAAATAAGCAAAGGGGTTTTGGGGTTTTGGGGTTTTGGGG